GTTTAATTAATGTTCTATGATCCACATAGATGCACACTTATGTTCTTTTGTTTTTCTTTGTCTAAATTATTTTACGGTTATTAGGGGATATTGTGTTTATTTATAATGTGTAACTGCATTTATTGTATTAGGTGTGCCTGTGATAATAAATGTAATGTTTAAAAATAAATAAAGAAATAAATATTATGGTAAATAACATAATTTTCCTCCTCAGAAACCGTGGACATGTCTTCAAAATATTTATCTCAAAAAGCCGTCGATGATTGTAAGTGTACCTACAATAAAAAATATTATAGAGGTACCTATATATTTTTTATATTCAATCATTTATCATTAGATTTTCTTTTTAGACGAACGTGGTCCATTATTTGAATTTTTGATTAAAACCCTGAATAAAGATGGAGATCAGCCTTTTTCTGATATTTTTCCTCTCACCACGAGGAGTGCAACTGCACAAATGTTAGTTTATTTGCATACCTATATACTTACTTCAGAATATCACATTCATTGGTTAAAATCTTTCTGTTCAACTGTCGAGAGGGTGCAGTTCTTATTGTTTAACAACACCTAGTAACTATGCAATGAATTTTTTTCTTTCATAAGGGAAGAGCAGCCCTGCAGAAGTCGAAACATATTCTAATCCTCCATCAAAGACAGAAACCATGCAAACCCAAGTATAATTTATAAAATAATGTCAATTTTGTAATCATAAAAGATTCAGAGAAATAGCATATCTGGAAAATCTGTGCAAACAAAATTTAAACTTATTTGCAGCTTGCAAACGGCACCAGAACTTTGGAACGCGAAACCTGACCCCGCGACTGTGGACAAAATAAAAGGAGCTCTGCACAAAGCTGTAGACCCACACACTCCCAATCAAATGGCCGAAGAAATGAAACGTTCGTCACCAGTTTTTTTTTTTTATTAAAAAGGCTTGAAACTTCGTTATTTATTTATTTTTTACTAGCTTTTACCCGCGGCTTCGCTCGCGTCACAAAAGGATAAAAAGTAGCCTAGGTGACATATACCAATACACACAGCGCCATCTATACTACTACAGGTACTATAATACCAATACTTTTGTTTTCCCTCGGGAATATCACATTTTTCCGGGATAAAAAGTGACCTATTATTTAATGCGGACTTCTAACTTTACGTCGGTGAAAAGATCAAAGCAATCGGTTAGGAAGTTACGGCGTGAAAGCGGAACAAACACACCCACTTTCTGATTTATAATATTAGTAAGGATTTATAAATAAATAATAATTACACTTCTGTATATAACATACGATGGCGGACTTAATGCCGGGTAGCATTCTCTAACAGTCAGCAGTCAACTTAACTGTAACATTGCCTAATTGTGACATTTTTTCAGGTGTAATTAATCAAAGTGCTAATTACTTGTCCGGTTTACTACGAGATAGAGGTTAGTTCCATAGTACATACAAAAATAGTACACGTGTAGATGTTTTACAAAACCATTATTTCCTACTAAACACGATTGTAATTTTAATTGCCAATAGGTACCGCGATGGACTCGTTATTAAATATGATGAAAAAAAATCCAGGAAAAGTGTTTTCAACAAGAAATAATTATACGTTGGACTATGGGCAAGCAGCAAAAGAGTAAGCAATAATACGTATATTTTTTTTTATGGGGGGAAAATCGTCGAGTGACTGCTCCCGCCTGGGTGAGGCGGGAGGGAGTGTCAGACTCTTACTGACTAAAAACCACCCCGTTCCTTCTCCTGCACGTCGAGCCGGAGCCCCGGAAACCCGTTAGGTTCTCCGCGACATAATACGTATAATAGGATTTTATATTCCTATACTAAGTAAAAGAAATTGAAAATTTTTATTAATAATGTGATTATTTCAGTATTCAGGAAGCACCAGACCTCATCACACATTTGCATATAAAGGATATTGCTGAAGAAGGACAAGCAAATTTAACGAAAGACATGAAAAATGAGACTCCAGTTGCATTGCAGGCCCCAATGGCAGGTAGGTCCAAAGCAAATTACAATGACGTCAAAAGAAAGTATTGTTAATTTATTCATTGTTTTTGTGACGTATTGCAAATTGCAATGTTTTTTCTTCCAGCATTGATGAAAGACGTCTCCAAATATCTTTCCCAGGTGGTGGCCTTACGAAGTAAGATAAAAACTTAATAAATACAAAAGCCTTCGTACTACCTACTTTAATACTTATAATTTTAATCCTTGATAAATTTCTGTAGGTGGAATAGCTGGTGATAGATATCCAAAACACTTGCTGGCTTCAATGGATAAAGCTATAGGAAGTAAACCCCTTTACAAGTACAAGTCGTACGGACAAAGTTACGGTGAAGCAGCAGATGTGTAAGTACTTTGTCACGTGATAATTACATGCATTTTATATATAAGTTATATGCAAAATAATATGTATATATCTACAGTTTGCAACACGAGGGCCCCGTATTTACTCCAGGATCAGTACAACAGCCAGGAGAGCCTCTCTCAGCATCCAAAACGGCGTTAGCAATATCGCAAGGAGTGTCTTTAAATGAAATACATCCAACAGAATCAACTAAGGAGTTGGGTCATGAAATTGCATCCGAAATGAAGAGAACCTTACCAAAGCAAATAGCTCCAAATGTTGCTGAAGAATTGGATGGTAACACATTTGCTTTCAAAATTAATTCTAAATCGCATAAGACATGATTTACAATAATTTCTTTTTTATACGATTACAGGAGGTAGTAATAAGTTGTAAGTACTTTCAATGGCAAATCAATAAGCTGACGTAATAAGAGTATTTCATGAAAATCTTAAGACTAAAAATAGTTAAGGCCATATTAATAATAATATTTGTTACAGTAATTTATTTTGTACAGGTACTATTGAAAACGCTGCTAAGCAAATAGCGAAACACGCTACTGGACAAGGTAATATAAAATAATGTTTATTATGCAACAGTCCAAATTTCCAATCCTCAAATCCCTAAACTCGTCGAGTACCGGTTTTGTAGACACAATTATAAAACAATAGGTTGCGGTCACCGGTGACCGCTTGGTGTTTGACAGTTTAACCCCAAAAGGCCGGCAACGCACTAGTAATTCCTTTGATGTCACGGGCGTTTTAGGATTCAGATTGCCTACCATCAGGTGAATGGTCTACTCGTTTGCCGATCTATCCGATAGAACCTGTTCCTGTTACCTAATGCTAAATATGCTTGCCAAAAGTAAACTCATCATGATAATGTGTTTAATAGGAAAAGCATTGGAACATTTGACGGGTCTAATGAAAACGAAAGGAGACCAAAACCTTGCCAGATTGCAAGGATATGATCAGACCTACAGTGGTGCAGCAAAAAGGTTTGTTGTAACCTCCAAATTAATAAGAACAATATTAATGTGCAAGCAGTACCAAAAAGTAAACCATTCTGTTTCAGACTAGAGCTTGCTCCAACTTTGACTAATGACAAGGTCGACAAAAAAGCTTACGAAGCTGTGAAAGCTAAACTCACCGACTTGACTAAGGACAAACCAGCTGATGAAAAGGTTGCAAAATATATACCAGGCAAGTACGAGAAGCTAAATATAATATTTTATCGTTCATTATGTAAAATATGTGGCTTAGTTTATAGCAAATATCTCCTACGCTTATTCCACTTGGAGCAAGCATTAAGTACATACACATGAGAGTATATGAAAACTGCCACTATAAAATAAAATTGTGTGCAGGTATTATCGAAGATAGCTCAAAATTTCTAGCAGCACCATCACCTGAGAGTGAGTAAGATACACAAATATTTATAATTGTGCTAATTTGCAATTTATACTATAACTTTAAAAGTGATGAATATACATACTTCTAGCGAACGCCGAAAAGAAAAAAGTGTTAGCTGATTTACTAGCCATGAAAAAAGATCAAATATTAGATGAGGAAGGTCCTTATAAAATGACTTATCAAGAAGGTGGAGAGGAGTGAGTTCCGTATCATACTTAAATTAGTAAAAGTTACATTGTATATCTATAAGTAAAAAATATGCTTCTTTAACTCAGGCTTATGCATGCTCCAGCTGGTGCCAGTAAAGCTCATAACGAGCAGAAGCAAAAAGAAATGATAAAGAAAATTGAATCTGTATTACCCGATAAAAATATGGCAGCCGCATACAAAGGTGAAAAGCTGTGTTTCCTTAGGACATCGTGGTCAATGCGCAACAGAGTGTTTACATTTTAGTTAACCTCATTTAACAAACGATAGGTAGCAAGTAGCAACATTAGGTAGGAACTACACGCTGGTTGCGAGTGAGTGGATAATCTTACTATAAAATGAATTGTATTTTATTATGCTTCATATAATATTTTACTTATAATTTTAGAGCCAATCACTGAAGGTGCAACACACTTGGCTAACGTCATGACCGGAAGAGGTAGTATTATTTGTACATCTATTATAATATTCTTCAGTTAATAAAAAAAACGATGAAATATTTTTTAAACACTTCTCAGGCCAAGCAATGGCAGTCATACATGACAGTTTGAATAAAGAAAAAGATAAAAGGTTTCTTGATGTTGGAAATTTCAAGAAAAATCAGGGACAAGTTGCGGAATTGTATGATTTTTTTTCAGTAGATTTATCATTTATATGTAGACATTTGTAAATGTAACAGTATTACAATGTGTTAAAGATTTAAATTAGGTTATTATATATACGATTATTTGCATCATGATTGTTGTCTTATTTTAATGGGACTTCGTGAGATTCGTGAGATTCTATTACCAAATCAACGAAAAAATCCCAGATTCTGCGTATTATTGTACATTTCGAAAACTAAATGATAGTTTTTTTATATTTTTAATAAGATTTATGATGATTATATATGTATTATATAATACAATAATAAGTTCAATGTTTTGAATGCTTGTGTTTTTTTTATTAAATAAGATCTATACTTTGCCAGATTGAAAAATGCACCCAATTTTCAAGGTGAGAAAGCTTCTCCAGTTTTGTTGGAAAACGTTGAACACCAACTCGATGTACTTCCCAAACAGATGCCAGCAGATAAACCACTAGCTAAGCAGCATATGAAAGGTAAGAAAAACAAATGTTAGTACTAAAACATAGAGTTTCTTCAAATTTATTTGTTCATTTGAATATTTGACATTTCCAGATACTACTGAAATCGCTGCAAAATATATCGCATCTAAAGCTACGGCAGAAAGTAAGTTTAAAATATATTCCAGTATTTTAGAGTACATTTTTTTAGAAATATTCATCCAATTAATGAAGGCTTTGATTCAAGGTGGTTTAGGAGCCCAAGAACTAGCAGAACTTCATAAAGCTGGATTCAACGAAGGAGCCAAAGCCGCATCGTATGACATTTTTTTAACTCCTATAGTCACAGTTATAACATTGAACATACTGTCCCTAAATATAAATTTATCAATTATAATTGCAGTGCAGCACAACGAAGAACTGTACAAGGAGAATTTGTAAAACTAGAACCAGAAAGTGTAGGTGGACAGAAGCAAGCTGCAGACGGTAAAATATATAGCCCTACACCTGATGGCAAAGTTTACGGCCCTGATGGCAAAGTAATAAGCTCTGACGGTACAGCACATACTCCTGATGGTGTAACAGTGGGTCCAGATGGAAAATTATATGGTCCTGATGGTAAATTATATTTCCCCACCGGTAACGTAATTGGCCCTGATGGCAAAATGTATGGCCCTGATGGCAAAGTCATTGGCCCTGCCGGTATAGCACACACTCCTAATGGTGTAACAGTGGGTCCAGATGGAAAATTATATGGTCCTGATGGTAAATTATATTTCCCTACTGGTAACGTTATTGGCCCTGATGGCAAAATTTACGGCCCTGACGGAAAAGTATGTACATTAGGTGAGAATGAAGAGCAACGTCAACGACGATTAGCTGAAGCAGAAGCATACAGAAAATATGAAGAAAGTGAAAGAAGGAGACTGGGTGATAAGGAGTACTTTAGAAGACAAGAAGAAAGATTAAGACGAGAAATGGCGGGTGGTGGGACAGGTGAGAAAATCTTTGAATAAGTATATTTTATTATTATTTTTAAAACCTGGTACCTAATGCATTTTTAATTAGTTAAATAAATTTGCTATTAGCTGATATCAATAATGTGTTATGTAAAAATTCAAAAATTCAAAATTCAAAAAGTATTTATTAGCGTAAATAAGGTATGTATATAATTATAACAGTTGTCATTTTCTAATAACTTGGTCCTCTTATTTTGCCTTCAACATCGGCGTGCAAAAATAATGTAGGTACTTTACAAACTTTTGTTATACTGCTATCTCAAAGAAAATTAAGATTATAAGAGAATTTTATAAAAGAGAAAATGTCACAATATTAACCTGAAATGTCACACATAATATTCTATAAATGTCAATTTACAGGAATGTCACACATATTATAAACTAGCTTCTGCCCGCGACTTCGTACGCGTAATCCTATTTTTCCCGTCCCCGTTCGTGATTTTTGGTAAAAAGAAAAAAAAATTTTGGTCAAAAAGTATCCTATGTCGGTCTCCTGGCTCTAAGCTACCTCCCTACCAATTTTCAGCCAAATCTGTTCTGCCGTTCTTGAGTTATAAGTGGTGTAACTAACACGACAATTATATATATATAGATATATTACATTACAATTCACAAACCATTAAATATTACAATTTATAATCTAAATACTCAAGCACACTGTAAAAACATTTGTCAATTAGCAGGTTTATTAAACCTCGTTTTAATTTATGAAAAGGTAACGTGTCTTAATGGAATTTGGAACCTTGTTATATAAAAACCTTGTTATGTAAAAGGTGTAGATAGGTTACCTTACCTAATAACATTCGATCTTAAAACACCATCTTCATAAACATTTTATAAAGTGTGCGAGAGCCATGCTTCGGCACGAATGGGCGGGCTCGACCGGAAAGATATCACGGGCTTACAGAAAGCCGAAACCGAAACGCTTACGTTGTTTCGTCGTATTACCCATTAGTAGTATAGTAGTACCCATTAGTAGTACCCATTAGTAGTACCCATTAGTCGTATCCCCTTCCTTTCCCTAATCTCCCCAATCCCTGATCTCCTGAATCTCCAACAATCCTCAAATTCTGATCCCGAAACGGCCGGTAACACACTAGTAACGCCTTTAGTGTTCCGGATGTCTATGGACGACGGCGATTGCTTACCATCAGGTGATCCGTGTGCTCGTTTACCTGCTTATGCCATAAGAAACACGTCACTCTAACGCACACATAAATATGTAAACGGCGCTACGCAAGTGAGGTAAACCGTTGCCAGTTATTGTCCATATTTTAATGGGCCTCTTTCTGAGCTTTTATTATCTACACCTTTTTAATTATGTATTACATCATTGGCTGATATCAATTAAATTTAAAAAGGCGACTAAAACTTTTGTGCTTACAGGAAAATATCGAGGTGGGGCATTGGGTGCTGGTAAGTGTTAATCAATATGTACGTAAAAAATTTTCACATCATGTAGATATACTACTTGATATATGTTTATCTTGATCTCGATATCTCCTCTCTCTTTCTTTTTGGTCTAAACTTCACCGCTTATTTATTAAACCAAGATGCTTTGAACAGATTACGACAAGGAACATGAATCGGCACTGGACATCCTACACCAACAATTGCAAGCAAACGGATCCAAAGTATTGTATCAACAACCTCAAACTGTTCTCACACATTCTCAGGCTTCGGAGTGGTAAGTTCAAAATAAAACGAGTATATTTTTACAGTTGTCCGAATTTCTTAACATATCCCGAGTTTTATTTCTATCGTATAGAGAAACTTGCCAGAGTAGGTACAGTTCAGGTAACTATCATTATAACGATTAAAAATTTATATTTTAATGTGTAGGCTTTCTTGTCCAATGCCGATGAAAGTGGATAAGGCAGTGAAAGATTCTGGAGACACCGCACGCCTACATAAGAAGTTCGAAAGAAAACTAAATGCCCTTGTCAATGATGTCACGCCACCACAGTTGGCTGACTGCATGCAAGGTAAGATTACTGATGACGTATGACGGTGTAACGGTGAGGTCACCGTCATTACTATCAATACATACTTAGTATAAAACAAAGTCGCTTTCGCTGTATGTCCGTATGTATGCTTAGATCTTTAAAACTACGCAACGGATTTTGATGCGGTTTTTTTTAATAGATAGAGTGATTCTTAAGGAAGGTTTGTATGTATAATACATGCATATTGCACCCGTGCGAAGCCGGGGCGGGTCACTAGTATGGTATAAAACAAAGTCGCTATCCGCCATCTTTCTGTCCCTATGTATGCTTAGATCTTCAAAACTATGCAACGGATTTTGATACGTTTTTTTTAGTAGATAGAGTGATTCTTAAGGAAGGTTTATGAAATAACAGATTAATTTTTAAGAATTTTAAATGTTTTTTTTTATTGTAACTATTGTTTCTACACAGACGTCGTCATTGAGGGTGCTCGAAGGCTATCTGAATTCTTTCTCTCGAAGAGTGAGTATAAATTTGCATTTAGTTCAATCAACAACACATACGTAAATACTGTTAAAATCATAAACTTGTTTTCTGGCAGGTTATAATGCGCTTGTCAAAGATGCACTTATATCAGAAATGCAAAAGCGGGGAAACGAAATACTTTCAGAAGTGGATGGCGCTGCGGAAACGTATTTCTTTGCGGCTCAAAGGTTGAAAATTGAAATAAACCTATTTTAAAATTGGCTTTCATTGTATAATAGTTCTGTAGTTCATGTTATGTTATGTAAAATTATTAAATAAATAAAAATCCGTCTGTCGTCCCGAACGATTGGAAAAAAAAAGATAATTCTTTATTCTGCGTATTTATTACATTAGGATAAAGTTAGTATGAAAAAAATGTTGACAATCAGCAAAATAGCACTACTACTAGCGCTAGCTCCTAACGCCGTAAAAATTGTTTTAGATTAAAGAAAGCAGACTCATTGGAGGTCCGGGAACCTTGCTACAGGGTCGCTAGTGATATCAATAAGAAGTTGGACGACATGATCAAAGTTCGTCCTTTACCACGGAAACTAAGTTTGATAATGAAAGGTATTGGTTTTGTTATCCAGAATTCTATTAATATTTTCTTCCATTACGGATTGCAATAACCTTGTCCCTATTTTACAGATCACATCAAAGACACTTCTAACTTTTTGTCTGCAATGGTTACGAAGCCCGGTGAGTACATTTGGTAGCCTTTTAACAGTTCCATTTCAAAACTCTCCCATGAAGTCCATAAAGACTATAAATTAAATTTTATAAAAACCCAAGAATGCTTTCTTAAAATCATACTTTAAATTTATTTTCAGATGATAAAATCGAGGCATACGTCGCGTTGTTAGACGAAATGGAAGCGGAAGGGGATTTCAATCTAGTAGAAGGAGATATTCCTAAAACATATAAAGAGGCTGCTGACTAGTAAGTCCATTAAGTCATTCCTAGTTCGACGAAATATTTAACTAAGGATATTTGTGGATGAATAATAACATGAACTTCTTCAGTCTTCGTCAGCTGACGTCAAATACAGATAAGATTAATCGTCCCAACTCTTCAATGCAAGCAGAAATTCAGACAAACCTCAAACAACTGCTGGATCATGTTCCACCTAGTGGTTATAGCCGATCGGTTATGAACTGTAAGTTGGAAAGTTCAATATCCATTTTCAATATCAATTCGTAGTTTACATCCGTAATCGTTCATTCAATAACAAACTTCTAAATGAATAATGATTGAGAAGTTGATAAGAAGATGTATTTTCTATTCGTATTTTACTTATCAATATGTCGTTGTATTTTTATTTTAGCCGTTATTGCAGAAACAGCAGGTCTTTTGACCTCATACGTAATGCTCCAAGGTTAGTAGCTTTCTGATTAAATATTTTGTTTAATCTATTATACTAAAGGAATAATAAAACTTTTCGTTTATGTAGGAGCAAAAACAGCAGCATTAAAAGATCTTGTGCAAGAAATGACGGAGGCAGGCGATGGTGCACTATTGAGACATGGACCTATCCGTAAATCTTTCAAGGAGGGCGCTGAATTGTTAGTATACGGAATAAGCAATAGCTTACATATCACTGATTCGATATAGTCATGTATTCCGTAGATAGATATAATAGATGTTTATTGTACCTCTATAGGTATATACTTATAAAAATAAAAGTGTAATGATTCAATAAAAGAATAAACTAAACTCTAAACTAACATTTCAGGTTGCAAGGAAAAAATATAGATCAACTCGTCGTGTCTAATCCTGACCCTGTGGTTGCAAGAAAAATTCAAATAAAACTAGGCAATTTGATGCAAATCGATCCGCCAATATGTTGCGGATGTGTTGAGAGTCTTATGAAAGGTAAAATTATAAAAACATTTAAAATGATGCATACCATATTTTAGAGAACAGAGAGAGAGAAGTAGTTATGCCAATTTATGTCACTTTAATTATGAATGAAACTTTACAGATGTCATCGAAGACGCAACTATGTACCTGGCTGTACATCTCCTTGAACCTAGTAAGATAATATGAACCATTGTAAACCTGATTGGTAATTACTTTGTCTCATGATTTATTACAATACTTATGATATTGTATGTTATGTTTACAGAGGTGATCCAGGTGTGCAAGTGTTACAAGAACGTGTTTGTGCAGTGCGAGCTGTGGTGTGAAGAGATACTGCGACGCGTGACGCGGCCATGTTGCACCTGCTCGCGACACGTGTCGGTGCAGGCCTTGAAAGACCTCGTGCCCGGGGAGATCCTGATCGCCGCATCAGACGGCTCCCGCGTGTTCGCACCTGGCGTGGATATATCCATTAACCCTTGCCCTAGAATGGCTAAACGCAAACGAGATGATAGCCCTGCAGTCCCCAGACCATGTCCAGCTGCTTCTCCTACATCTGGCTGCCAGAGCCGAACTCCAACTACTTCCTACGTCATGTATTCCACTTCACATCAACGGTTTGGTTACGATTCCCTACAAGCATCAGCGGGCTCAAGTGATTCACTACCTATAACACCAATGTCCTTTAGTCCTTCGCAACTTTCGAGAAGTAGCTCTCCCATAAAATCTCTCTTAAAAGATATTCACTCTGGAAATGTTAACTTTTATCAACAACAACAAGAACAAATGCAGATGTACGAAGTTGAAAATCAGAAGCGACTACATAGCGAGCCGTCAGTTTCATACTTCTCTTCAACTAATAATTACAATTTCGGAGATTCACCTAGATCGGAATCGCCAGTTACCACCTGTCTCTCTCCGGAGTATCCTTCCCCGATGATTAGTAATATTCATATATCCGACGCGTCTAAAATCACACAAGCTAAGAGTACATACAGCTCCCGTGAGTAGCATAATTCATTCAGTTCAATTATAGTTTTTATTGTATGAAATTCATATTTTTTATTTTACTATTTAACGTATACTCGGTAGGAACTCCAATCATATCCACTGATCAGATGGCTGACTGGCATGCCATGATGGTCAGTCTGATGTGGAACATGCAAGCATGGAGGGATTGGATACAGGAGATATTTGAGCATGCCTTATCTTACCACAGTACTCCAAGCACACGAGGTACTGTAACACTAAGAAAAAATACTGTAACGTTAAAGTAATATGACACTGAGTAAACTGGTACTGAGACTCTTGATATTTTTGTTTTCATACCAAAATCCAGATACATGGTCATCATTTCAAAGAAGGATCACGACTGAAGCTCTTCAATGGCGTCAGTACAGTGTGTTCTGTCATCAACTTACAACACGTCTTCACATACGCTACAAGGATAGAGAAGTAAGATAACAATACTTAATAACAATAGTTTACCAAAACTGATGATGTCTTCTTAGGAAAAAATATATCTACTGAAAAATTCGGCTTCTCAATTGGGTACTTGCCAACTAATCAAATTCAATACTCTCTTCGAACTGTCAAAACCGTCAGTTTTCTATGAATTTTGTACGAGATTGTGTATTATGACGTCACGTTTTTTAACGTAAACAGCATACTTATTTCTTAAAAATTTGCTGGAAAAATACTAAAATGAAGTTGGTCATAAAATCCATTAATGAAAGTGTGACTATTTTTTAATATTTTATTGTATTGAACAGTTGAAATTATTTATTTTTGATGAAGGCAAATACCCAATTTCGACCGATTTCAATGCACTTTGTTTTCGCCAGAGAACATTGTACAGAAAATATTCCTACTACATTATGTAAGTACTATAAACATTCCTACTATATCCTCATAAATATCTCGTCTATCAATATATTGAAGATTTTGTATACTAACATATACAATCTATTCTAGTTCGTGTCTCCGACGCGACCCACAGCCCAAACGAAAACTTATATAGCTTGTCAAGAGGAAATGTTAAAAATTATCGAAATGTTCAACAAATGGACACAATGGCTGACTTTGGTTGTGAGTTTCACTTATATCTAAGATAAGCGACATATAATCCTCTACTGCAGAATTATTAAAATATTCTTCTAAATCAGGTCAAAGAAACCAATACGTTGCAACAAATGTCTGGCGCTGAAGATATTCCATTACACCAAACGTAAGTGCTTAATTTACTGCAAGACAAATTATTAATGTAATACGTACTTTAATAAAGTTTTGTCTGTAAAATAGGCGCTGGACTCACTTGAAGATAAAGCTAGATGGTTATGCTAAAGATTGGTCTAAATACAACATGTTTCTGAAAGGATCCTGGGAGAAAAAATACAGTTCTGTTATTGAAGGTATGTATATTCCAAGAACAATTTTTGGAGTAGAGACACGTACCTAACACAAAACCAAGAGAACTCGGTTATAAGTCACATTTATTCTGGTTCTACTATCTGGGTATCTGGTTACACTTACAAACTAGGTACATGTTTTTAGGTCCGGGAAAAATACTGAAATCAAAAACATGTACTCAACCATCTGAAAATTACATTTAACTTTGTTTTGTTAAAATTTATTTTTTTTGATTAGACTACTTGCCAGAATGGAAGAAACCAGGTGCAGTATGGGTGGTAAGCGCTTGTGGTGCGGTGCCCAGTGGCGCAGTCGCTGCGGGCGTGTTTGATGGAGAAGTCACCTGGGTCGCCAGGACCACGCACAAGTATTTATTTAGAAGATACTTACTTTTCTCTAATTTGGTTGAGTAATAATTAGTATTAGATTAAACTAAAAGACTCAAGTATCACTATAAAATTTTATTGCCATCCACAGGTCTAAGGTGCTCCCAGCAGCTTTGTATCCTTCAAAACACTGCTGCTTGGTATACGCTGATGGCATAGTCCATAAATACACAAAATATCAGGTAAGTCAAATGAAAGTATCGATACACCAAAATATACAAGTTGCTACTTAATAAACGCAAGTACGGTTGCAGAAGTGGATAGCTTGAGGTTGACATTGACATGAGCGGTGTAATTATCTGTAATTTCTCACAACAGTGGTGATTTCAAGTAGAAACTAGTTTATAAAATTTTGGCTTAGGTAATGTGTAACGCAGAAGTTCGTTGGGTGGCATGGCGAGGTGGCTCAGTGGTAGCACGGGCAGTTCAAGTGGCACCAGGAGTATATGTAGGGAGAGTGCAACATCGTGGTAACCACCTCTTGGGGGCTGTGCATGAACCACACTATCGCTGCCACGTGGTCTTCTTCGGGAGGCCCTTCGCCTTTAACAACTACGACCTCCTCATGCTAGCAGAACCACGAGACGAGAAGACATTCCCATGAAGTAGTAGACCAAGTACAGCAAGCAGGTGACAGTGTACATGGTTATCGATTTTGAAATTAGAACACGGAAATGATTCCGTTCTTTTCTTTTCATCTTTTTTAATGAAATTTCTTTGTAATTAATAGACAAACTGTCTCCGATTGCTGTGCCAAGGTTAAGGGTATGAATGTTTTATAATCTAATAAGATAATTACTGATTATAATTCTGGGGATTAATACTTTATCCAATATTTCAAAAGTAGTAGTCTTCCAGTAAGACTCGAAATGACACTGGCTAGATTGGTGTGATCTTACCAAATCGTGATAGTTTTGTTGATGTCTTGAGTTTTATTTTGAACGTCGATGTGCTAGCGAGAATGTTTGTATTGTGCTGATTGTATACACATTTTATATTTATTAAAATTATATATTGTTTTATGATATGTCTATATTTCATTGTATTGCACCTTACCCTTAAATACACATATTTACACAATACATTACAATACTTTAACTCTTAACGCTAGTATCTTGACTATCTTCAGCTACTTCAACTTTTTCTATTGTGCCTTTAGATCCGGACAGTCGCACTAAATCTCCAGTTTTGAACATATCTGTAGCATAGGCTGCACCCACGATGCATGGCAAACCATATTCGCGAGCGATCACAGCACCTAAGAAACGAACATAATATAAATAAAACTATCATGAATTTGATGAACTTATGGTTCCAATTTACTAAAAAACCCCAAGATAAAAGATTTTTCTGCCTAGATCCAATTTGGGGTAAGAAAGGTTACTATAAAAAAGTTTTAATTGTATATGGTTACTACATGGCAAATTGTTACGATAAAAAAACAATTAAGTGTGGGAGAGCCATGCTTCGGCACGAATGGATGATACCACGGCCTCACAGAAAACCGACGTGAAGCAACGCTTGCGTTGTGTTTCATCGTGTGAGTTACCGGAGGCCCATCAGGCCCAATTACCCTATCCAATCTCCCAAATCCCTGAATCCCCAACGATCCTCAAACTAAACTCCTAATCCCCAAAAGGCCGGTAACGCACTTGTAACGCCTCTGGTGTTCCAAGTGTCCATGGGCGACGCCGATTGCTTACCATCAGGTGATCCGTCTGCTCGTTTACCGGCTTATGACGTAAAAAAAGCAATGTTAACCAAACAACGCGCCGCCAACAGACGCCCCGCAACACTAGATGAGTCACAAGTGCATTGCCAGCCTTTTAGGGATTGGGGGTTTGAGGATGTGGGGATTGAGAATTTGGGAATCGAGGCCTTAAAATAATATAATGAGTGAGCTGATACAAACCATGTGATATAAGTCCACCAAGTTCTGTGACGATGCCAGTAAGCAGCGGGAAGTAAGGCGACCAGCCGATGTCAGTCGCGTGCGTTATTAACACATCGCCACGACGTAATTGATCAATCTGTTCATAGAAAATAGATATTACAACCATATTCAAAATACACCTGCCCCTAACGAAGCTACAACTAGATATCAGGTAGACATAAAGCTTATGATTAAGGAGAGAAAAGGAGCAACCCTAAACCGAGCATTTCTGTTGCTACGGATATGTTGAGGGGATGATGACAGGGTATGACAATTAAAAATATAATTAGTCCGTAAGTTAGGTATTTAAAAAATATTAGACACGTATTTTTTTATTTTGTCGTATAATAAAACAACACTTAGATAAAATGAATCAAAGTTTAGGAGTGGGGGTTAAAACGTCATTCCTTAGTATAAAATGTACTGAGAAGTGACGTCACGCGACATTTCAAATCAATATATCTTCGAAACTATTCGTTTCCGTAAGAAAATAAAAAATACGTGTCTAATGATTTTAAATAATCTACCAGACGGACATTAAAATAAAAATTAGTCGTCTACCCCATTAATAAGGAAGCTAATCATCGCCTGGTATACAATTACTCTTCAAGCTCTTAAAAAAATACATAACATCATGCCTTTTTATCCCCAAAGGGGTGGGCAGAGGTCCACATTACGGCATTTAATGCCACTGTACACTGTAACACCCACTATATTATGAGTCCCATGTAGTAGGGGGTGAGCCTATTGCCATATACCGGGCACAATTCTAGACTCCGTGCTACGTGGGCTGAGCACCGCCGTGTCCTCAGGGAAGTGATCGGCGATGGCGACCTCTCGCGTCCGGGCCTAGTGCAGGCCATGATGCGGAGCGAGGGGGATTGGGATGCCGTCTCCTCCTTTTGCGAAGCAGTCATGCTAGCTAAGGAGGAGGCGGGACGCGTGAGGCAGCGAAGCGCTGCCTCCTCGCAACCCAGCCATCGCGAAGGACACACCGGGCGTCGGGGATCGCGGGACGATCTCCGGCCACCGTAAGCGCGGGCCTGCGGACGGCGAGCATGGGTGGCTCCCCGTCCGACCAGAAACAGACCCGAGCGTACGGCGCGTCGCGTTCCGCGCGCGCCTCAAAGAGCCATCAGACCACCACAGATGGGGCCCAATAGGGCCGATGCCGATTCGGAGTCGCGGAGAACCTAACGGGTAACCGGGGCTCCGGCTCGACGTGCAGGAGAAGGAACGGGGTGGTTTTTAGTCAGTAAGAGTCTGACACTCCCTCCCGCCTCACCCAGGCGGGGGCAGTCATTCGATGATTTTCCCCCCTTAAAAAAAAAAAAAAAAAAAAAAGACTCAATGCTACTACTGAGATTTTTTTTAAAACCCAGTAAAATTTTGCCCGACCCAGGAATCGAACCCGAGACCCCTTGCACGGCAGTCGCACTTGCGACCACTCGGCCAACGAGGCAAGTTCTTAAAAAAGTGATGTAACTAAAGAAGTTTCTTAACAGTAGTGGAGTAGGCGATCCTATGGCATTACCGATTCCGGGTATCGGTACTTGCGATAGTGATATCTATATACTATCTATTTATTGTTGCGACATTACCTACTGTCCCTACTGTGACATTTATTTTTTGTTAAAATAATATTTCACCTCTGCAAGATCCTTGATGACGCAAGCCCTGGCCACCACTTCACCTCCACAGACTGAAGTTGCTTTTATTTTAACGTCTCCAACCATTACATTGGGTGCTTTAGGCTCCAACTTATTTACCCAGCCAACGTGTAGCTCTTCAAACTTTAGCTTGCACCAACCGGGGTGATATTGCTGACGTAGCATAGCTCTGAAAAAAATATTTTTATTCAAGCAAAAGCCTATTCAAAGTCAATATCTTTACACGAAATACGAACTCAAAAGTTATTTTTCACTAGCTTCTGCCCGCGACTTCGTACGCGTAATTTTGGTTGACTGTTAGAGAATGCCACCCGGCATTAAGTCCGCCATCGTATGTTTATTGTACAGAAGTGTTAATAAATAAAAAATAGAATAAAATAATTCCGTTTCTCCCATTCCCGTAGGGTTTTTATTGTTTTTTTTTTGTAATTATAATTACCTATTATTTTATTTCCAATAAAAATTGGTTATTAACTGACTCAATTACGTCTTTACTAAAAATAATAATTTTATTTCAGACCAGAAACAAAAAATAACAAATTTTAGTAACAAAAATTCCTAATGTTGAGTTGTTCAAAATGAGCTCAATTTGAAAAAAATAATAAATAAAATTTATAAAGGCAAGAAAAGTGGCAAGTGTTGCACCATTTTAAAATCTTGATTAAATGCGCCATCTTTTGAAATAACAAGCCAAGGGTAGTGTAGTAAATTTTTTTTTCAATATGAAGTGTCAAAGTTAACTAACAATATTTTTGTGAACGATAACTCACTAAAACTTAACTTATTTTATTAAATTAACGATGTTTTTGCATTAATTTGTATTTGCGATTAACAGCATATATTTAATAAAGATCATAAAATTAAAAAAAAATCACTGCGATTTTGTGACATTGGTGATCACAGGACTTGAAAACGCGACCAAGGGTGTCGAATTTCAACTTTTTATTTAAATTGTCTATTATCGCTGAACTGAGTGATATGGATTTTTTTTATTATTTTTCCCAGAACTATACCAGTTCTTGGCTTTTCATCCGGTCTCAGATTATCGTTGAGTTTTGGGACACCCTGTATATATAGATAATAAAAAAAAACAATAAAAGGTTTCATGTTCTTACTTTTTCAATAAAGCTGGATCTCTAGTAGCAAGGTATTTTTGTAGCTCATGTAGTCGGAAGAAAAACACGAGGTCTTCATTTGGAATGTACCACTTCTTAACCAACAAACGTCCTAAGCGCAGGAAAGCGAGCCGCACTTTATGAATAACTAGCACCATTTGAGCCTTCGTGCCCTCTCTTTGTCGCACGGTGCTGTGACATAACGGTAGAACCCAGCGAAGAATTTTCCTAGAAAATATTTTATCATATTTTAATTACTTAAGAAAATTATTAAGAACCTAACGGGTAACCGGGGCTCCGACTCGACGTGCAGGAGAAGGAACGGGGTGGTTTTTAGTCAGTAAGAGTCTGACACTCCCTCCCTCCCGCCTCACCGAGGCGGGAGCAGTCATTCGATGAAAAAATAATGGTATTGTAAACAGTGCCTTTAGCCAAACGTCACTTTAGCGCTTGTATAAAGAGAGAGTAGAAATCAAAATGTATAATGAATGACACTGACAAGTGTCAAAATTACGTCAATTCCATATAATTTGGTTTTCTATTCTACATGTAGACAAGCGCTAAATGGCATTTGACTACAGCTGCTGTGTAGTGATTAACGGTAAGTAAAATTTAAACACGCTTAACCGAACCGCGTACTCACTTAGTGGCTGACTGTTGAGGAATAGTTAAAGCATCAATTATCTCCTGATTGCTCTTATTTTTCTTTATTGCTACGTCATCCGTAACGCGCAAGTTTTGGAGAACAACCATCATTTCCTCTGGGACCAACACCCATGGTTTAGTTAGGATATCGAACTGAAAATAAAATGTAAAAGCATATTAATACAAGCCGAAGCTTATACGTCCTTAACTCGTCGAGCACCGTCATTATAGACACAATTAAAGAACAATAGGTTGCGGTCACCGGTGACCGCTTGGTGTTTGACAGTTTAAACCTTAATATAATGAAATCTTAAAACTCAGCTCGAGGCTGTAGTAGTATAGATGCTTTAAGTTTATGTCGAAACTTTAGTAGTTTATTAAATAAGGTAACACAGATAGATACAGTTCAGTTACAAACCTCCATAACAGCTCTGTATCCGTGTTCTTCCAAAAATGCACGAACATCAATATAAACATCATCATGAGCATTATTCTTCAACCACTGCAGGGCTGTCTTTGGATCTTGAGCTCTAAATTCGTCAGCTAGCCCTGATTTCTCTAACTTGCGCACTATA